ATCAATGGGTGCCATATATAGGTTGTCAAACGTTTTGACAAACCCTCTACGACAATCCCGGTACTCAACATTACATTTCAACAACAACTGTCCCTGACTCTTTGCCACCTTAACATTACTGTAATTAACCAGAACCGATTTAAAGTTTTGCGTACAATTAGTGGCTACAGTCTCTTTGTACTATAATTTAAAAAGTTTTAAAAAATTAAAATAACTTTATCAGAACTTAATATAAATGTGCAAGCTACAAACCTGGTCCCATTGAGTTCTCGCAGTTTTCTCCCAATCCGCATCACATTTAGCAAGTTTCAGCATTTTGTCGTCCGTTATAGCCGCCGGGTCACACATTTTAGTCTTAACATCAGGGTCAATTCCTGCCATAAACTGTATGGAGACTGTTATACATATCATGAGACAGAAAAGAGTTGCCAAATATTTTAACATTTTAGCTAATAATGTAAAAATTAATTATATATTTGAATAGTTTTACATTTTATATAAATGTTAAAAAGTTTTAAAAATTGAAAAGTTGTTTAAACAAGGATTCTCAATTTTAACATTATGACTTTAAAAATAGGTCAAAATCAATATTTAAACAAATATGTAAATATGAATAAAAAGCAATTTTTTGTATGCAAGTGAAACAAGATTTATATAAATTAAATTTTTACAGAAAGCATGATACATATATTTTTTATAAATAAAAAATTTATAAGTTACCTATATTATAGTATTATAGTAATTATTTCTTAAATTTTAATTGTAATAAAAGGATAATAAGTATTTTTATACTATATGATAAAAACTATTTTAAATATTAAAACAAAAACAATGTTTTATTTAAGTTTCATTCAAAACCTTTAAAATACAATTTCATTAATGCAAATGTAGAATGAATTATGCATAATTCTTTATCCAAGGGCAGTCTTGTAACAATCCTAGGTAAATATAATAATTATTAAAAATAAATACAATAAATTATAGTAAAATACACACATTTCTGACTTTATAAAAATTAAAATAATATTAATGTTAGTGTTTTTTAAATATTCCTTAAAATAATTAGTTAATATATTATATATTTGAACATTATTGTTTAAACTATAAAGTTATTTTTAATTTAAATTAGTCTAAAAATTAATCTTTTCTAAACACGAGTATAAATGTGGTTTAGTTTAATGTGATAGATAATTATTGTTTTTATTATTTAAAGTGTTTCAAGGTAAAAAATACAAACCATAAATTATTATAATTATTATTTGTAAGAACATGTAAATATTTATTAGCATCATAAATTTATTAAATTTACAGTTTATAATTTTACGTTATTTCATGTGATAATTAAATAATCAATAAAAGTATAATTAAAAAGAAATTATTAAAGTTTTAGTTAATTATTTTATTTTTATGAAATTAATAAATATGTCTAAACAATTAAGTAACAATTTATTTATAATAATTTAAGAAATTATCATAATTAAGTTATTTTTATTACAAGAACTAGCCTATAATTCTTAACTTAATTTATAAAGTCTTATGACTATGTATCATACTTATCATGTATGAAAATTATTGAATATGATTTATTATAAAATCAATAAACATATCTTTATAAATAAAAAAATAAAAAAATTTACTTTTAGTTTGCTGTCAAATGTAAAGTTAAAATATAATTTTATCTTTATATTAATACTTCATAGAAAATAATGTAAATGCAACAATGAATCTAATTAATAAAGTTTACAACATAATTTATTTATTTTCTAAATTTATTTATATAAAATCTCTTACAAATGCTAAAATAATTTTATATAT